GCTGCTTCATCAATCTCCTCCTTCTCCTTCAATTTCTCCTCGGACCATTTCTTTTGATCCTTCTCCAGTGCAAGGCCGACTTTGTTATGTGAAAGCAGAGCCTTCATTTTCTTCTTCCAACTCTCGAAATCGATCTTCCCATCGTATTGGGAGATCTCCATATGTGTAGTGCTCATGGTATTATATAGACAATGTGATACAGTCTAAGGAGTAAGTGGCGTTGTTACACTAGAGGTTGCCAAATACTGCCAAATAGTTTTTAAGGCGGTCACTGGTTTCCAGCCTATATACCCTTAAACTGGACAGACAACCGAAAGAGAACACTACAAGTACAATCTAAGGCGTAAGTGGCGTTGTTACACCAGAGGTTGCCAAATACTGTCAAGTAGTTTTTAAGGCGGTCACTAGTTTCCAGCCTATATACCCTTAAACTGGACAGACAACCGAAAGAGAAACACTGCAAGTACAGACTCACGGCACTGACCAAGATTACTCTCCTTAACCAGTGTTTGTGATCTAATCGCACAAAGATAACCCCAAGACTCAGTAAGAATCAAAGTTCTAAGGCTCTAGGAACCTTTGGATTAAGAAACCCCTAAAATCTGAGAAACCCTAATTTTTCGAGCAAACCCTAATTTTCGATCTGTAAAAAAATTGAACGATTTCTAAAAAGATTTCACCCTAGGACGATGGCTCTGATACCACTGTTATGCAATCAACCTAAAAAGCAAATTGAAACAAACAAGAAACCAGAAAACCACAAACAATAAACACCGGATCTTTATCGTGGTTCACTTACCCGATTTGAGCAAGCTACATCCACGTTGAACTCTGGAAAGAGAGTTCGCTGCACTATGATTAAAGAACAACCGATTACAGTCACGATTATAAAGAATGACTCCCAAGAAACCCAGATCGAACAACTCTGATCTGAACCCGTAATATGCCCTAGGACTTCTCTAACCTGGAAATCCCTATAACAAGAACACAGTAGTTCTTCCCTTGATTGATTAACCCAAACCACTCAAGAAACCCACAGATTACACAGAAGTCAGACCCAAAGAAAGAACCCTAGTTTTTCTAAGAAAACGAAAAATTGCTCTCGACCCTTTCTGTTTGATCTACTGTTACATCAGGAAACCCTAATCCTTTTATAGTGTTGACTGGAGGCTTGATCTCAGCCGTTGGCTTTTCCTCTGAATCAGCGGTCAGGATCATCCAGGAGCTGTCCCAAAACGACACCGTTCCATTAATTCAGTACGACGCTGTTTCAGCATTCACTCACAACACCATCACATGTCACCAAATTCTAGAGAGGTAGTTGATATTTAATAAATTAGTATTCCCTAGGTAAACTAAAGGAAATAGACTGGAATTAGTCTAGAAATTAAACTTCGTTCTCAGTATCTGTTCCATTAGATTTGGCAATTACAAGTTGTAATTATTTGACTTATAATTTCATTTACACTTTTATTGTTTGTATAACAAGGTAGAAGAGTTTCGAAAGTTGAGTGGATCAGCATTGGAGGACTTGTGTGATTGTTTAAAGCCAGTTAGCTTTATTGAGCGTACTCGCATTGTTCGAGAGGGAGATCCAATTGATGATATGCTCATTGTTGTGCAAGGCAAGCTCCGGGCCTACACCTCCAGGGATATAACAACAGGCTCTCCAACCACTGATCACAACGATCGCAAAATTATATTGTTGAAAGATGGTGACATTTGGAAAAGAACTTGTCACTTGCGTTCATGCTGACCCATACTCGTCCAGCCTCCCAGTCTCAACCACAACTATTCCAGCTGTTACAAATGTTGAAGCTTTCACATGATAGTGATACAACTCAAGGGTTTAACAGTTTTAGAAAACTGCTAAAATCCTGTTATAAGAGGTTTTGTGTCGGTGTTTGTGTTAACATCTCAAATTTCAACAGTCAAAGTCTCTTTTATTTTTTAAATCAACCGTTCAGTTGGACAAACACGGCTCTTTTCTACCCAATATCTGCTGTGCCGTGAATCCCACCCGGGAACTTAATTTCCTCGTTAAATTAGGTAGGGTAGATGAATTTTAACAGTAGACGTAGAGTAAATCAAAGTCTCTTTTACTTTTTAAGTCAGCCATTCACTTGGACAAACACAGCTCATATGGTTATTTTATTTTATTTATTTAATTAAGATTTTCTACCGTGCCGTGTACCCCAACCAGGAACTTAATTTCCTCGTTATTTCTTTGAAGGAATATTAAGTGTCATGGAATTTTCCACCTCATTCCTTGGAAAGTCTTTCTTTTATAGGTACAAGTATTATTATTATGTAATTAAATGGAAATTAAATATTAAATTAATTTTATAACTCAAGAAACGAGACTGTGGAATTTTTGTACCAGGACTTGATCCAGAAATTAGTTTATTTATACCTTAATTGGTATAGATTCCTCGCAAGATTGAGACAGAGGGGTACGGGTCGATCTTTCATTCTTTCTCGCACGCAAACTAAAGAAGAAAAATTAATTTAGGAATTCTTTTATAATGTCGGCTACTCAAGTCAACAACACATGTTTTATGAGACACTGATTCAATAACTATTATCTTTTTCTATATAAACAATCCAAAAGAAGAGCGGAAGGACAAAGTTATAGTGTGAGTACGTAGACTTGGTTAAAGAAAAAGTGTGTAAGAGATCTGAACGTGAGAAAAAGAGACACAGTTTTCATTTACTTGCTATTAAAAAAAAACAGTATGATTGCTCAGTGGGGGCAGTCGGGAATACGGCAGATTGTGTTATTTAATTAAGAAAAAACAAAGAGTGTTTATATGCAGATAGTGTTATTTCTAATAAATTGGGGTCTTAATCTTCAATTAAAGTGCTGATATCTGCAACCGATCCTGTATCTGAAGAATAGTATATTTGCACAATCCAAAGAGTTCCACACATTGTAATCATGTAAGTAGTTGAATGGACTTGTTTATTGTTGAAAATTTGCTAGTCAGTTTAGTTGTAGGACAATTATTTGTCTGCCATATTTCTGGTTGTGTTCTATTATTATTTGCCGTGGATGCATATGGGTGTATAAGCTAGGAACTAATCTTTTTTAAACTAATTATATTTTGTTCAGGTCTCTGGACTTGAATATAGAGGAAGGTACAGCAGGGCAAGTTTCCAGGGAACGTAGAGACAGAACAAATTCATTTTCGGGAAGTTCCCAAAGAGGTCCACATTGTGGTTTTGAAATTCAAGGGATTAGTAGAATTAGAGAATTACCAAAATGTAATGATGGGAAGCTTGCTAAATTCTTGCTCGGTTTGAAGGCACTCCTTCACCGACAGGAGCTTTGGGGGGAGCGGTATTTTTTGTTCCTGTGCGGGATGGCAAATTCTTGGGGTACTGACTACTTATACATGCCGGTGGTGAATGATGATAAAAAGTGCCTTGAATTGAACAAGGATGTTAGAACTATGGATGTCGTTGTGCAAATACTATTGGATTAATTGACAAAATTCTTCATTGATAACCACAATTTAGATTTAGGCTATTATATAGTTTTACATTTGATTCCAAATGACTCCCAAAATGATTTTATTTGCCTAATTTAAATCTAATAAAATAATATATCATAATTATAAAAGGATAATAAGATAATTCTATCCTAATAAGATAATAGCATAATTATAAAAGATAATTATAAAAGACTTAATACAATTATAAAAGATAATAATAAAAGACTTAACATAATTATCCTAATTCTAAAATAATCCTAACATTGTCTTCCCCTTCAGCTCAACCTTGTCCTCAAGGTTGCAAGGTACGACACCATCAACAACAGTTATCCCGGTTCATCCTCGTGCTCATCATCATCCTCCTCCACTAGCAAGAGAAAGAACTTGGCCCTGCAGCGATGCCTAGGGTAAAAGCGCTCATCGCAATTATAGCACAAACCTTTGTTGCGTCATTCTTGCATCTATGTTGCTGTAAGTCGTTTAACAAGCAAGGAATCCGATTTGTTTGGAGTTGGCAAAAGGGCTTGCTACACTGAAGGAACATTAGGAGTTTATTTAATAGGATCGCAAGTTTGGGGGCTAGCAGATTGCAAGTATAGGTGTAGATCCTGGAGCTTGTCCTCCTGCAAGCGGGTAAGACTCATGGCATGGTTGAGGGTATGAGGCCGGAAGGACTGCACCTCCCTTCTGATTTTGGTTTGAGCCCTAATACAAAGCAACTTAGAAGGAACATACCTGGAAGGCCAGAAACTTGATTAGAGAGTTCCTCAAATTCTGTTTGATAAGTGACTACAGAACCTGTTTGAGTAAGTTTCGCCAACTGCCCATGGTAATCCACAAATTCTGCAGGCCCAAAACAAACATCTAAATCTTGTAGGAAAGAATGCCAAGAACGGATCTGCCCATTGGAATGCATCCAGCGATACAAAGAGAGAGCAAGCCCATCCATGTGGAAGAAAGAGATCGTCAACCATTGCTCAGTAGGGATATTATGGTAATCAAAGAATTGCTCGGCTTTAAATCTCTAGCCACGCAAATCCATGCCCTCAAAATGAGGGACTTCTAAATGGAAAGACTTGGGAAACAAACTCTTAGAAGTCGATCCACGTCACCCCGTCAAATCTAAAGATGATTCACCAGAATGATGGTTTTGTTGTTGGTTTTGTTGGCAGGTTTGATCGAACTTGTTGTTTAGAGCTGAAATCTGCAAAGTAACATCTTGAAAACCAACTGTCAAAACTTCCAATTTCTCTATTAAAGAAGGAGAGTCTTTGCCTGGGCAGATCGTAGAGCCATAATTTTAGCAAGCTGCTCATCCAAAAGATGCAAGCGAGTGCCTTCAACCATAACTAGGGAACGAGAGCACCAATGATTTTATCATTGGTGCTCTCGTTCCCTTTTCCATGGTTGACCTTTCTCGCCTAATGGCTTTGGAAGAACTTGTCTCAACATGGGGCTAGATTGGATGCTCAAGAGGTCAAACTTGACTCCCTAGAGGGTCTTTTGATGGCTATTACACTAAAACTGACTGCCATTGATGCCAAGTTAGAACAAGAACGAAAAGAAAAAGAGCTCATGGAGGACAGTGATGCAAGTGGCGATGACACTTCCTCGCCCGACTCGATTTCTCATTCTTCTAGGTCTGCGCCACCTGATAAGCCTTTCCAATTGGAGGTGCCTCTCTTTAATGGCATGGAACTGTAACTCACGACCTTTTCCCTGGAACCCAAAGTCATTTCTCAAATGGGCCCCATCAACCATTCTATAAAAACAATCCTCTACCACTACTGCCAGCCCTTACCAAGCCTCCCACGCGTTCCGACCTCTCTTTGATGTCACTACCTGGCATCGTGTGGGCTCACGACAAAGGAACAAGCGACTTCTTTACCATGCTGATTATAGGGTTTGGGATATGATCTGTTTATATGAGGAACAGAGACCTCCAAGAACAAGAGATTGAGAGATTAATTGACAAAATTCTTCATTGATAACCACAATCTAGAATTAGGCTATTATATAGCCTTACACTTGACTCTAATGACTCTCAAAAGGACTCTAATTGTCTAATTCAAATCTAATAAGATATTCTATCTAATTAATAAGATAATCTGATAATGACATAATTATAAATGACTCAATATAATTATAAAAGACTTAACATAATTATCCTAATTCTAAAATAATCCTAACATTGCCTTCCCCTCGGGCTCAACCTTGTCCTCAAGGTTGCAAGGTACGACACCATCAACAGTAGTTATCCCGGTTCATCTTCGCACTCATCCTCATCCTCCTCCATCAGCAAGAGAAGGAACTTAGCCCTACAGTGATGCCCAGGTTGAAAGTGCTCATCGCAATTATAGCACAAACATTTGTTACGCCTTTCTCCCATTTGTGCCGCCGTGAGTCACTTAATAGGCAAGGAACCTGATTGGCTTGGAGTCGGCAAAAGAGCCTGCTATGCTGAAGGAACATTAGGAGTTGATTTACTAGGATCGCAAGATAGGGGGCTAGTAGATTGCAAGTATAGGTGTAAATCCTGCAACTTATTCTCCTGCAAGCGAGCAAGACTCATGGCGTGGTTGAGGGTGTGAGGTCAAAAGGTCGGTTTGAGCCTTGATACAAAGCATCTTAGAACTTAGAAGGAACGTGCTTGAAAGGCCAGAAACTTGATTAGAGAGTTCCTCAAATTCTGTTTGATAAGCGACTACAGAACCTGCTTGAGTAAGTTTTGCCAACTACCCTTGGTAATCCAGAAATTCTGAAGGCCCAAAACAAACATCTAAATCCTGCAAAAAGGAATGCTAGGAATGGATCTACCCATTGGAATGCATCTAGCAATACCAAGAAAGAGCTAGCCCATCCATATGGAAGGAAGAGATCGTCAACTGTTGCTCGGTAGGGGTATTATGATAATCAAGAATTGCTCAGCTTTAAACCTCTAGCCATGTGGATCTGTGCCATCAAAGCAGGGCATCTCCAACCGGAAAGACTTAAAAGGTGGCACATACCCAAAAGAATGCGAACTCGAGCCAGGCGGGGGAGTGCCATCGCCACTCACATCACTGTCCACCAAGGGCTCCTTTAGTCATCGTCCTTGTTCTAGCATGGTGTCAATGTCAGTTAGTTTTAGTGTAAAAGCCTTCAAAAGACCCTCTAGCAAGTCAAGTTTGACCTCTTGAGCATCCAGTTTGGCCTCATGTTGAGAGACAAGTTCTTCCAGAGCCTTTAGGCGAGAAGGGTTAGCCATGGAAAGGGAACGAGAGCACCAATGATAGGGTTTGGGATATGATCTGTTTATATGAGGAACAGAGACCTCCAAGAACAAGAAATAGAGAGATTAATTGACAAAAATTTTCATTAATAACCACAATCTAGAATTAGGCTATTATATAATCTTACACTTGACTCTAATGACTTCCAAAAGGACTCTAATTGTCTAATTCAAATCTAATAAGATATATTCAATCTATTTAATAAGATAATCCTAATTCTATCCTAATAAGATAATAACATAATTATAAATGACTTAGTATAATTATAAAAGACTTAACATAATTATCCTAATTCTAAAATAATCCTAACATGGTCTTTGTGATTTTCCAACTGCGTTTTGATTTACTCTAAAACGCAAGGAAACGTTTGTGGATCATCTTCCTAGTTGACCTTTTAGTCGTTATTCTGGTCGGACATGTACGATAGTTTTTGGCTGCCAAATGTTCTTTCTGTATATCACCATATAGAATTGAGATTATGTGACCTAATTATGAGCTGCTTATATTTCGTTTCTAATAGAAACTAATTAATCTTGAAAAGGAAGTTTTATTGTAACTGTTTTTCTTAGCTTTTACAAATCTGATTCTGAGCTTTATATAGAGTTACATAGAAGGCATATGAGCCGGCACACTAAAACACAGCTTAAACAATCTTCTGCTAATGTAGACTCTCTTTTAACTTGTGACGCTGAGAACACGCTCTGTTACAGTTGAGTTGATACTAAAGAAAAAGAAATGACAGTTTGAAGTTCGTTACAAATTATAATATACTTTTCCAAGTCTCATCTCAAAGTTTTCATTTGTAGATATGTGTTTTCGTAGGTCACATTATTTATTACTTACAGGCTCTGAAGTGTCCAGGCGCTGCTGATTTTGTCTATCAATCAGAAAATAACGAGAATGAACTTTATGTTTGTATTCAACCTTTTTCTTGTCCAATATGCACTAAGGATTATCCGGATGTATCCACTATTTAGATGTAGATCAGGAGTTGTAGCAGACAACTGGAGAGAATTTTCAGGAATACTAATGTTCATAACCTTAATTTTTGAGAAGCTGCAAGCGTAAGTTAAACTAAACCTTTTATTCATTGATTAATTTACACTGTTGGTCTAATATATGTTGAGCCCTCACCTATTAGTTTAAGCTTTAAGGTGGGATGACAACTTAACATACACATTTACCCTATGTTGTGTTCTCTAATGCTTCACAAATCGGTTTTGCTAGACTGAAGGCAGAATTTAACATATCTATGCATTAATGTTTACTTAACTATATTTTATAGATAGGATTGTTAATGCCAATAACTTATAATCATCGACACATTGAGATATTAGTTATTTAAATTATCCAATTTATTCAATTGAATTGTTAGTTTGTGTAAGTATTTTGGTTTTGTCAACCTATTCGTTCGGATTGGTGCACAATTACAAAACCCCTGCCTAGCCAGGTATTTCCTAAGTGTCTCTTGGCTATTGAGAACCTAGAAAACGCACGTCTAGGAAAGAAGTTTATTTTAAAATCCTATTTAAAGAATAAACTTGTAGTTTAAAAACAATTTTTTTTTTTTTTAAATTATAATAAGTTCATTGTACAAGTCAAATAATATAGTTTCTTTTCTTGAAGTAAATTATGAAATCCATAGTAATAATTACTAGAAACATACACACTTTTACAAATTTTACTAGCAATTTGATTTCCTTTATTAACACAAACATATTTACTCCATTATAGAACATAGACATATTTACTACATTATGAAATATGAGCATAATTACTACACTAAATACTAGTAAAACCATTCAATAGTCATCATTAAAACATCCCTCATGCTCATAGCGTCCCTCAAAATCCTCTCCCAGTTTCATGCCTTAATCCTTACTTGCAAAATATTTTAAAACATTTCGTGGGGTGAGCGCTAATCGCTCAGTAAGGGAATATGGCTATTTATAAACTATTAAGGTTTATTATACAAGTATATTACTCAGGACCTTACTTATCTACAAGACATGACCTTCATTCATTGACATTAGCATGTCATACACTTTGGACTTTTCTCATAAACATAAGTCATAACATAACCATACATAATATAACATAAAACATATATGACTTATGCAATATTCATAAACTTGACATGCTTATTTCTTTTGTCTTTGTACTTGATGTTTTCATTAGGCTTTATTATCCGATCGGATTCATTTGAACCATTACCTTGTTCTTGGTCGTCACCTCAAAGGACTCATGGTTTCCAAAAAGATTTCATTCCTCTGATCTTGGTTTATACCTCAAGAGACTCATGAAATTCATTCTTTAACATTTCATAAATTCATTCATAAGTCAACTAAATAAGCTATATGCATTACCATTATGAATGCAAACATATGGGATAACATCTCCTATGCTCAATCATACTATTCATTCATTTAACATGTAACCTTGGCCAATTGCACAACTCATCAATCAATTTAGCAAAACTTCATGACATAAATATTCTCCTATTAAATTCATTAACTTAAGTCATTGAATTTCTAATACCACACAAGGAATTTCAATAGTAAGATTATTCAGTGGATTATTAGAATTTATTAAAAAAAAAAAAAAAAAAAGATGGGAATTTCTATTAAGGAGGTGGATGCCATACAGTTTATCACTTTTCAAGCAATGTTTTCCTCATTTTACAAATCGAATTGATTTTTTCCTAAAACATAAAAGTTTTAGGTCTATTTCTTAGCTTTTTAATACTTCAAGAATCAGCTCAATCAAACTTTGATAACTTCAGTTATAACTGATTCAGTGAAGCACATACAGTATTGGTCTTAAAAAGCCAAATCCGAATTCTATTCATTGTTAACTATGCCACCTTTATTTGTACATTCATAGTATTTCCCATATCATTCTAAGTATAAAAGGCCATGAAAACCTCCCTTTTTACAGAACCAAAAAGTGCCAAAACATCGTCCAACTACAAATCTCTTAATTGGAATAATCATCCTCCATATGCACACATACACCAATCAACACATCCATTCACACAATCCATAACCAAAACATAGCATCACACTCAAATTAACATAAATAGATGTAAGTTTCATCAACCCTAGGTGTTATCAATTGTAGTCCTAAGGAAGACTTTTTTTTCCTTACCTTAGTATTCAAAGCACAAAGACACTCCTCCTTAGCTCTAAAGGTTCACCCTTTCTACCTTTCACACATAACCACTTATGAATTTCTCTTTTAACTAAAAATCAAAACAACTAGGGTTTTGAAACTCACCTTAAACCCTAAAATTGAAGTTCTTAAAGTGTGGATGTGATCTCCTTCGAAATTCAACTTGAAATCCAATGAAAATTTGAGAAGAAAATGCTTGGATTACTGGCTTTTATGGTGGATTTGAGAGAGGAAGAAGAAGATGATGCACTTGGGGTGTACAAGGTCGACTACTCTATCTTAAAACCTTGTAGATATTTACTTCATTACTACTCTATTATGATTGGTCATTAAAAGTTAGATATAAGGGTCCTTTGGCATAGATTTTTCATATAAGGGCGTTTTGGTCATTTCCACCACAACATAATGATTAGCACTCATTTAATGCCATTTGAATTCTTTTAAACACTTGGTAATTAAGCAATCACATTAGATAAATGACTAATTTACCCTTGGTGCACTTTTATGGATACTTAATTCATATGGATTTGTATGAAAAGACCATTATACCCTTGGTTACTGTTTACGCAATTTAACCATATCAATCAACTTTATGACCATTCTACCCTCATTTCTCTTCAATGACATCACCCCTTAAACTTTATAATGGCCACATCTCGAAATGCATGCAAATTGACCATTTAACCCTTCCATTCAAAAAAAAAAAAAAAAAAATTATTTGAAAAGGTAAATTTCATACCTTAGGGCATCGGAATAATAACGCGGGGTTTACAACAATCTATTTAGTTTCACTTTAAAGGTGTTCACCACTAAATCGAAGTTATCACAACACATCTGGCAGATTTTATTTTAATATTCATGCATATTGCACATGCCTTAATTAAATGTGATTATATTTCAAATTGTGGAAAGATTTTTTGTGGACATTATATATTATGTGAGTTGGAAAAGATTTTATTTAATTATGATTCAATAATCATTTTCCTAAAAGAAGATTATGATTTTAAGAATTCTTTTCTTATAAGAAGATTATAGATTAAAGAATTATTTCCTATAAAGAAGTCTATGATCTCAAGAATCCTTTCCAAAACAAGTTTGGTTTCTTATTTATCCTTTCAAAGTCACTCAAATATAAATAATCTTTTTATTATTGTGACTTTTTGAAGGAAGTCATATTATTTACCTTTATTATTCTTTGAATATTTTCTTTGAGATTGTTTAGTTTTTATAGGTTTCTGATATGCTTTCGTAGGCTTTGAATTACCGTGTTTTATCTCTTACTACATGAGTTGATTCTGGAATGTTGTTCCATGTTGAGATCTATGTGTTCGAGCTGTTACTGCCAAAGTAATTCGTCATTGTTAAAACTTGAGAGGAGCTCAAGTGCAACCTGGTGGTCCCGTGGAGGAGAAGCTAGACTATGAAGATTTGAGGTTCAACCAAAGTGTAAATATTGAAGTGTTGTCCAAACATGGAGTTTTTACAACTGATACTTATTCTTGTCTTTCTAATTGAACACATAATTATTTTATAGTAGATTATCTTCTTCTGGACTTGGTCCCATGGATGTAGACATGTTGCCAAACCATATAAAATTGAGTTGTGCGCTTTATTTTATGTCATAGATGGTTTATATATTTAATCATTAGTTTAGCAACTCATTAAGTACAACGTGCATAAGTAATCTTATTTCCACATAAGTTTTAATCAACATGGTAAGGGTTTAAAACTTTCAAATTTCAGAAATCTTAAAGATTTATATCTTTCTTTCCTCTCTTTTTTTAACCTCTACATTTTCTTTTTTCTTCTATCTTCTTCTGACTTAAAATTTAAAACCTAAGAATGTTTTTCCATATATATAATATTTATATGTAAGAGCTGCTTGTCTTTTAGGTAATTGGATCTCTGTGGTACTTTTTCGCCGTACGAAGACTGACTGAATGCTGGAAAAAGACCTGCATAGATCATACTGGACGTGGTTCTTTTTACTGTCATGACGGATTTGCAAACCATACATTTCTAAATGATTTTTGCCCGACAAAGACACTTAATACAACAATCTATGATTTTGGAATATTCTATGATGCTCTTCAGTCTGGTATTGTCGATGTTAAATTCAACAATGGACAGAGGAAGACTTATACTTTCCGATGGACCTTGCAAAATCTCAGGTTTGTAAGTACATACTATTTATACTCATCTTCATGTTACTGATTTATTTACCAATAAATTTGTCACATATGCATTCATTTCTCTTTTATTTATTATAACAATTTTTAGAAATGTGAAAAAATGAAGAGTTAACGAATATATCCCATCCAAATAATAGCTTAATGATATTTTCTACCCACAGACTTTTAAAATACCACTTTACTACCCAAATTTATATTCTAGCGGAACAAAGAACAAACCTGTTCTAGGCTATTGAGGCTTTTGAAGAGAGGAGACTAATGCGTCTTTTGGTGGTGGAATGTTAGATTTTGATGGTTGGGATTGATCGGAATTTGACTTTGGAGGGGCAGTTGCGCAAACCCTAATCGCTTAATTGCCGTCCACTGACGAGGTTGGCGGGAGTAAAGTTTAAGGAGTTTTGGTGAGTGATGATCAGGGAAGAGAATGGTGGTAGTGTGGGGTTGCAACAATGCCGAAATTGGAAATAGAATATATATTTGGGTAGTAAAGTGGTATTTTAAAAGTTTATGGGTAGAAAAATGTCATTAAACTATTACTTGGGCGGGAAAAAGTCGTTTATTCAAAAATGAATACATAACATTTATTCATTAGATTAGTACATTGATAACACGGATCATTATTCGTATGGTTGACTTTTCCTTCCCATGTATATACCATGCACCTTATAATTTTCAACTTAATGGATTAATGTATACAAATCCAATTATTTGCAGCGCTTTCGGTCAGGGCCTCCAAACAAGTGTGGATATCTCAGAAAACGTTTTCGTTATCTCCATCACTTACTTTGGTGTAGCATTTCTTGTCTATTTTATTGGGATATTCCAGGTTTGTACACACACAGATAATATATATATATATGTAATCAGAATATTATATTTATAACCTAAATTATGTCAGTATCATACTTACGGTAATATAGGATACACATTTGTTTGTTTACTTGATCCAGCAGAAAATAAAAGTGGGTCAAACATGTATATGTAACCATTCATGCGTTCATCCAAAAATATCATTGTCACTTGCGTATTTATTTCGTCTCATCTAACTGAGATCTCAGAGTAACTTGATTGGTTAATTTTTCATATGAATGAAAATGTTGTATAATATTGATAATATGATAACGATCATAACGTCTGCCTTAAACTTCTCAACTTTTATATCCTTAATTAAGATGATGCACAATTGATTTCTAGGAACTGTGCTTCCTGTGAAACAGATTAGTATAAACTACGGATCGAGAGGATTATTCAAGATGAAGTTGAAGAATCGAGAGATAAATCAGTGGCTGTCCTTCAGAGGGATCTCTATGAATCTCCAACAGCGGATTGAGAAACACCCGCCAAACAGTTGGGAAGTGATCAAAGGTGTAAATGTAAAAAATTTGCTCAATAATCTTTCCAAGGACCTCAGAAGCAATATAAAGCGCGAACTCGGCTTAGACCTACTAAAGAAAGTGAGATTCCTTTGTCTCTATATAAAGAACTCTGCTAAGACCATTCTGAGCTTACTGGATATATTCTCATCCTTATTTTTTACTGCATGTCCAGGTAGACGAGTTTGCAACCTGAAATGAAACAAGTTTGGATGACCTTTGTGATTGTGTGACGGCAGCTTTCCATGATGAACGGACTCACATTGTTCGGGAGGGAGATCCAATTGATGAGATGCTCTTTGTGCTGCAAGGCACCACTGCAACTACCCCTCGGAGGACTGATCATCACTCTAGTGAACAAGATCTTCTTGAAGAGTGTGACTTCTTTGGAGAAGAACTTGTTGCTTGGGCTAGAGATGACGCTTCACCACTCAACCTCCCCATCTCAACCAGAACCCTTCAGGCGGTTACGAATGTCGACGCCTTTGTTCTTATGGCTTATGACTTGAGAAAAATATTATTCATAAAGCACAATCAGGAACTTGTTTCAGACAATCTTTCTCTTGTTTCATCTGATCAGCACCAAGGAGAGCCTGAGATCACTGCAGAAGAACAATAAATTCGTAAGGTGTTGTGATGTATCTTGAAAGCGTGAAGACAACAAGAAGAATATATATATATATATATATAATGTTGCTTTAGTTTTAAGCAATTTCCTCGAGTTTAACTCTAGGTTAACTAGACAGAACTTGAATGTATATCCAAGTGATACTAGCTAGCTAGCTACATTTAAGCGCCGTTATTATATAACATCAAACTAAAGTATACTACTTAATTATATAATCCAAGTAAATTTTCAAGTACAGTGTTGAACTAAAAGCAGTAATTTATTTCCGACATAATAATTTAATTAGTTAGTAATCTTGCTGTATAACATGGGGTTTTTATGAACCTTCTAAAGAAACAAAAATTATCAAATTTTATATGATCATTTTGTGTATATAATAAAACAGAAAAAATACTTTTATATCTTGTCATAATGCAATCGATATTGTGGAATATTCATGTTTGTCAAACTTATGACTTGTGTATGCACAACAGTTATGTGTGCACACTAATTGCCAATCTTATAATATGGTTTGTTTCTTATGTCTTGTGTGTGCATGATAGGCTATTTGCAAGTGTACGAAATCGTACAAGTAGTAAACTTCGAGTAAACGAGTGTCGAATCCCAAGAGAACTACTCACCAAGTACCGAACTAATCATTTTATTACTATTTGATAAAAACATAATTTTAAGAATGATTTAATGAAAAATAAAACAAATTAAAAACTAAATAAAAGCATAATTGTATTCATACTTTGGTAAAAAGATCAATATGACTAAACCTAGGGCACAGATTTCATATCAATTTAATCTTATACATTGACAATTATTGCTAACCTAATTAAGCTTATTTTAAAGGTCAGGCTTCCTAATATTTTACTAACTTCTCTCGAATAATTAGCGACTTAACCCTTAAGCAACAATCCAAAATATCTCTAAAGTGGATTTAGAAGCTAAGAGATCATTAAGTTCTATGAAATCTTATGTATTGACAATTATTGCTAACTTAGGGCACATATTTCATACCAATTTAATCTTATGCATTGACAATTATTGCTAACCTAATTAAGCTTACTCTAAAGGTTAGGCTTCCTAATATTTTACTAACTTCTCTCGAATAATTAGCGACTTAACCCTTAAGCAACAACCCAAAATATCTCTAAAGTGGATTTAGAAGCTAAGAGATCATTAATTTCCATGGAATTTATCAGAGCCTCACAGATCGCGGTAACCTATATATCTCTAGCGTTCGCTCAATATGTGGTTTTATTACCTTAGACTAATCATGTTTCATCTCTCGATCTCAACCCAACCCATAATATCATTCAAATCTTGGATCCATAAGAATTGAAAGCATTATACACAATAATAAAACATAGAATTAATGCTCAATTAAAATTAACAACAATAAAATCAACACATATTCATAAATTGGGCTACATTTTTAGCCCTACAAAAGAAATTTAGTTCATAATTGCAGTAATAAAAACAACCATTGTATTAAAAAAAATGAGTTCAAGAAATAAAAATAGATTAACTTCTCTAATTGGCGAATGAAAACTACAAGAATTTTGATCTCCAAAATAGTAGCCGCTCTTTCTCCTCCTCTAATCTCTCTAAAAACTAATTAAAGACCCTTATTTATAATGCTAGGGTTTGGAGGTTAATTAGGAAAGAATTAAATACCTTAAACAATTCAATTTCGGACTAGGAAAATAAAATAACCCAAACAGGCCCGCAATCCATCGCTACAGTGAAAGAAACGGTCGCTATAGCAATTGTTCTTTCTGTCCCACGAGTCTGGAATATTCAAAATTTGGCAATGTCATCAACATGAACATTTTAGCTCTCTAAATAATCTTTCCAACGCCATAAGAATCATGAAATTCAGATTTCTACAACTCAAGTGATGATCAAAACATCAAAGCATGCTTGTCTTGAAGAATTTCCAGGTTTTAAGTCTTATCTTCAACGCATCATAACTTCCTCATTTCAATTTTGATTCTTGCATCGTTTGTTCCTACTCATCAAAAATTCCATCTACATTATTCCTCTTCATTCAAATATCATTTTTAACCTAAAAACGCTCAAAACACACCCTCTGATCCCATAAAAGGTATTTATGAAATAATTAACTCAAATTTCACAATAAAAACACATCTTTCCACAAATAGTCTAATTGAATCACTAAAAAAATATGTATTTTCAAGCTCTTATCAATGCATAATAGTTTTGAGTGCACACTGGTTGCCAGACTTATGTCTTAGCTTGTTTCGTATCAATATCAGTTTGTGCTTGCACACCCACTTCAGATATTTGCAACTTAGCACGAGTTGTATGTCTGATATAGTAGAAAAGATATTTGTTTATTTTGTCTCTACCTTTTTAGGACCTTTTACATGGGTCATATTATCCTTAAGTGGTCCTAGGGAATAAAGTTTATTTTCCTGATTTGTTTCGTGGTCTAAACCAAAAGAATGAATACTTTCCTTATTTGGACAAATATGGGTTAGCCCCTTGTTGGTTGACGTGGCACATATGTGTTGAGTAAGAAACCCTACACTATATATCATTCTTTTTGCGTATTTGAATCTAACCTTTTGATCTTTTATTTCTTTTGTACTGATAAGAGCTTGAAAATACACATTTAACTAGTTGTTTATGAGGATTAATTGTCAGAAATTAGGCTTGATTTGGTAAAGTTGCTTAATATTTTCATAATTGTCTTTTACGGGATCACAAGTGTTTTTGAGTGTTTTTCAGGCTACTAGTGCTTAAATATTATGCTCAGATGAAGAATCATGTCAGCAACAAAATGAGTGATGAGTAGAAATGAACAGATCAAGAATCGGAGTTGAATTGAAGAAGTTATGGAGGTTTGAAGTGAAGAGAAGATTCTAGATTACGCTTCAGCTTGAGCATACCTCGGTCTTTTAAGAATATCTTGAGCTTTAGAACTCATTAAAATGATTCTTTAACTATTGGAATGCTAATTCAAAGGGCTACATTTCATATGTTACCACTTCTCCAAATTTCATCGTTATCAAGCTCAAAAATTACTATTTTTGAAGAATAGTGGAATGATGTAGGAAGAAGAAGCGTATTACTGTGCCACAACACAATGCCGCGACACACTCTGTCTAGTAGCTACTGTGCTATAGCACACTTTGTCCTGTAGCTACCATGCCACAGCATAGTGTCGGGGCATAGTCACGGCAGTTAAGAAATTATCATCCATTTTTGTGTAGGAAAATAGGGTTAAGAGTCCTAAACCAAATAGAATTAAGGAAAATAAAACTCTAACCCTTGTGGGATATAAATAGAAGTCTTTTAGTATTATTTTAGGGATTCTTTGGGGGAGAATAAGAGGAGGAAAACCTGTAGAGAAGAAAAGTAACAGAAGTTCTATAGCTTTGATTCACAATATAGAGTAGTTTTTCTTGTTCCTTTCTTATAAACTCATGATGATTGTTTTAATAAAGATAATTGTTTCTTTCATGTTTATTATGAACTAAATTTATTCTCTAGGGCTAAGATGTAGCCCAATCTCTTGATTATGTATTGATTTTTGCTTGTTAATTTTTATTAAGAATTTTTCCTAAGTTTTACTATTATACCTAATGCTTTTGATTCTTAAGGGCCCAAGAATTGAATGAACTAATGGACTAGGTTGAGATCGAGAGATGATACTTAGTTGGTCTACAGTAGTAAAACCATAGGTTGAGCGAATACTAGAGATAGGTTACCGAGACTTATGAGGTTCTAGTAAACTCTATAGAGCGTAATGATCTTCAATTGCTTAAATCTGATTAGAGATAATTCGGGTTAGTAATTAGGAGTTAATTCGATAATTGTTCAAGAGAAATTTATTGGAAAAGAAGGGCGTTTGACCTATAGGAAGAGCTTAATCAAATTAGCATAAGATATCGATACATATGAATAAGAGTTGGTATGAAGTCTATGCCCTAGGTCTAGTCATCTTGTTTTTACCCAAAGGTTTATTTTAATTGTTCTCTTTTTAATTTCAATTGTTAATTTTATTAATTTAGGTTTTCTTTGATACAATTTGGATTGATCAAATAGTAATAGGATAGTTTAATTGGTAATTGATAATAGTGATTCCCTTGGGTTCAATATCTGTATTTATACACTTTATTACTTGCACGATTTCGTACACTTGCAAAAATCAACATGTACTCTGAAATTTCTTAGAGTATTCTTTCTCTTAAAAGGTTCATAGGTTCATTTCATTTTGTGCCAAAACCTCACCATTTCATTCATTATCTTGATGGCTCTTGGAATGTGGTTCCTTTTTTGTTGTTGGTGTTTGGCGTCGATGCTTGAAGCTTGGTGGTTCACAAGCTATTCTCGAGTGTGTTCCCGGTGTGAAGTAGGTTCAAGGAGTTTCAACACGTTAAGGATTCAGATTGTAGTACTAAGTGTAAAGTTGAACAAGAAGTTCTTTTTACTGTATCTTAGATCAACTTTGAACTATATCTTGTAATGAGTTCTTAACTTAGTGGATTGCTTCGATCTGGATAAGGTCACATGGATGTAGGCTAAAAGTGGATTTTAGCTAAACCATGTATATGGTTGTGTGCTTTACTTTATGCACTTGTGGATGAAATGCTTAAATCTGAAAACACATTAATCAGCTCGGTAAATACTTCCGCTGCACTTAAAATGGGTAACCATACACCAAAGTGAGTTAATAAACTCCCAACAGATATATATATATATATATATATATATATATATATATTATTGGTTAATGGTATCTATTGATGGTACAATGAGAAGTGCATAGATTCCTTGATGAAACTTATGTAAGAGATGGTATGAAATATGCTATATGATGTGGGATCAGATAATGAATCAAAAACACAAACGACAAAATATTTTAAAGTGATTCGGATGCTAGGTGCAAATCATACATCCACTATTTTTATATTGCTCTTTGTATTTTTTTTGCGTACAATTGTGGCTTGTGCAAAATATGAATATGACCTAAA